CAGACACACAGACACACACAGACACACACACAGACACACAGACAGAACACACAGCCACACACAGACAGACACACAGACACAGACACACAGACACACACACACACAGACACACACACACAGACAGACACACAGCCAGACAGACGAAGGACAGACAGACAGACAGAAGGAGGCAGACAGACAGAAGACAGACAGACAGACAGACGACAGACAGACCACACACACACACACACACACACACACACACACCACACGCACCGCACCCGCACCCGCACGCGCTCCGCCACACGCGCACGCGCACGCGCACGCGCACGCGCACGCGCACGCGCACGCGCACGCGCACGCGCACACGCGCACACACGCACACACGCGCGCACGCGCACGCGCGCACGCACGCACGCACGCAGACAGACACACACACACAGACACACACACACACACACACAGACACACAGACACACACACAGACACACACACACAGACACACACACACACACAGAGACACACACGCACAGACACACAGACACAGACACACACACAGACACACACACACACAGAGACACACACACACACAGAGACACACGCACACACAGACACACACAGACACACACACACAGAGACACACACGCACAGACACACAGACACAGACACACACACACACAGACCCACAGACACGCACAGACACACACACAGACACACACAGACACACACACACAGACACACACACAGAGACACACACACACACACCAACTATCGCTCCCGTCGCGGGTTCCAGTATGATATGTAAATGGCCTAGCGTATACGACCGAGCCTGTGGAAATCGTGAGTTCTATCTTTCATTGGTCAAAGCGCATTATATTGAAGATGCCAGTCTAGTTTGGCATTCTCTTTTATATTCAGAATTGGCTGTATTCTTCCCTCGGCTGCTGCGTTTCATTCTGGGAGGCTACAATATAGTGACCGTCGGATGCAATGACTGATGCGGCTGAGCTTTCAGAAAATCTGAGTTCAATTTGGGGGACGGGAGTGAAATGGTTCCTTGCATCGATGAAATTTCCATGGATGATGCGAGTGCGCAGGGCGGTTAACTTCCACGCCGTTGTCTGATTTGCTTGTGTCTCAGATCCGGACCCTGGAAGCTTGACGCAGGTATTGAAAAATAGTGTCTAGAGCACCGTTACCGTGACACGCGCTTGAGGAGTGACCGTTGTTTGGGATGTTGCGGCCTGATGATGAACTCTGACCGCAATGGCACCGTCTGTAGATGTTTTGGTCCTTGGAAGCGTTCTCTTGTTGGGTTCTAATTAGGTTGGATAGAAAAGATAGGGTAGAGCAGGGCAGAGGAGAGCAGAACAGAGTTGGACCGCCTTCCTGAAGTCCTGAAACTTCATCACGACGTACCCCATTAAAGGAAGCTCATCCCAGTGCATCTCATACATGAGTGACCCACCAGGAGCATCCGCATCGGTGTACCTACGTCGGACAGCCTGATAACTCATGTCTCGCCCAAGCAAGGAAGAAACCAAGCTAGATAGAACAACTACCAAGAGCGAAGGTTGGTTGGATGGATAAATGGATAGACAGATAGGTAGATTAATGGAAAGACAGAAAGAAGAGAAGGCCAAGGATAAAGAAGAGAAAGGAACAAAAGAGCAAGAAAGAGAAAGAGAAGGCAGGGAGGGAGAAAGAAAGAGGAACACGCATAAGGAAAAGAGAAAGAGACAGAGAAAGAGATGTCGAGTGGCAGTGGCAGAGAGGGAGAGGGAAAGAAACAAAAGCAACAGAAGCAAGAGAGAAGGACAAAGACAGAGAAAGAGCAAGCGACTGCAACGCGGAGAGAGAAAGAAGACAAATCAAGAGAAATATAACGATAGTCCTTATATGGCTTTCGCCAGTGTAACTTCCACAAGCAACCAGGGGCCAGCGCTGGGTTGGGCGTGTTGTGCCGTCGCTCAAGTTGAGCCGCCTTGAGCTCAAGGCTTTCTCAGTCTGGCCAGCGCTTGTAACCATTCGGTTAAATGAACCTTCGATGGTCACCTTGTGTGTTTGGGCCGGCTCGTCCCAATTGATGATCAGCGCACGCCCGTACCAACAGCTTGTGTGTCAAAACGGCTGGGACCGGGACAATCCAAGTTGTTACTCTTCTTTTGAAGGTCTTATTTTCCTTTCGATTGGTTTTGCCGGGCGGTTGCCTTCCTGTTGAAATATGTAGCCCAATATGCATGTTGTCATATACAGTTGTACAGTTGAGACTACTGACATGTTTTGGCTCAAGAAAATAAGGCGCTCCGAAGCGGCCAAGTAGATTTTCATGGTAGCGGGGAGCAGTAAAGGTTCAGAGGGACCTAATCGCTCAATTTGGTACTTCGCCAGCAGATGGCGAGGATCAGTAACCGCCTTGGAGGCGGGGAGGCCGCGGACGCGGCAGGAGCCCGGCGGCGGTAGAGAGCGAGGAGCCGTCCGAAGAGGCCCCGGTGGAGGAGACCGGGTCTGTGCCGGCAGCTGATCTGCCGGTGGAGGAGCCACAGCCTGGAGGAGCTGAAGAGGAGCCAGAAGAATTGGCTTCAGGACCTGACTGGTCCCCCAACAAGGAGAACGTTGCCCAGCAGGCTGCTGAGACAGAGAGGATCTCAGACAAGCTGCTGGAAGAGCCAGAGGAGCCGCCATGCCACTTCGTGGAAAGATCCTGAAGTCAAGGAACTGACGGATCGCCCGGACACATATTTGGTCCGAGGGCCGATGTGCCGATGGGAGATGATGGCGACAGACCGCCGTGGTCTTCAAGGCACAGGCTATGTGAGAAAGGAGACCGGTTGGCTCACTAATAGCCGGGAGCTTGCTGAGCTCTTGGAAGGTGAGTGCAGCAACAAGGCAGGGAAAGATCCCTGGCACAGGCATGTACACCTCATTGGTGGATTTGCCAAACAGGCCGCCAGATACCCACCTGCGCTGGGCAAAGCTGTCCTTCGGACAGTCAAAGCTTATCTTGTACAGAAGGGTGAGCTTAACTCAATGGAGTCGAATACATCAGGGCCAATCTGTGAGGAACCTTTTGTTCCAGCAGACTACATTGAAGAGTACTGGGATGATGTGAACGGAGGACTTCTACCAGCGGAAGAAGTTAAGAAGGCAAGAACTCTTGAGATGGACTACTTCAAGAAGCAAGGAGTTTACCGGAAGGTGCCGGTAACACAATGCTACACAGAGGGACTTCGTCCAATCACGGTGAGATGGTTAGACACGAACAAAGGAGATCCTGAAAAGCCCCCGTGAAATTAAGGCAGCTAAGAAGCCGGAGGAACAGTTGCCGCAGAACCTCCTCTTCTCATCAACGCCACCGTTGGAGGCGATGCGCTACCTGCTGAGTGCCTGGGCAACAGACCGGGTGTCAGCCAAGGGCCGGAGACTGAAGCTCGGTCTCTGGGACATAAGTCGGGCGCACTTTTACGGAGTAAAGAAGCTTTGGATGAGCTGGATTCCACTTTAAGGAGTGCCTACGAGCTGAAACGGCTCGGAATGCTGGGAGACGAGGATGGAGATGATCGCGCAGCACATTTTTTGAATCGTTTGATCATGCACGAAGGCCAATCAGCGGTTTTCTTGGAACCTGTGGAACTTTTGGTGAGACATCTGGGAATGGTGAACGCGAAGGGCACTGAGACCCCAGACATCAAGAAGTCCGTGGAGCAGCAGCTTTTGGAGGCTATCACCTCCGTTGGCGCGAGAAGCAGCTTCACTTTATAGGTCGAGTGTGACGCGAGCAGCGTACCTCAGTCAAGATCGTCCTGATCTTTCGCACGCTGTGAAGAATCTTTCAAGGAAGATGGTCACCCCGACCGAGGCGGCGATGCAAGACTTGAAGAGACTGTGCAGATATTTGCTGAAGTATCCTGATCTTTGTCAAGTGTTTTGGAGACAAGCCAAACCCTCGAAGGTCCGTATACAGGTTGATTCTGACCATGCAGGAGACGCTGTCACTAGGCGAAGCACTACAGGCATGGTTGCCCTCTATGGTAGCCATACTGAAGCAGTCAAGCAACGTCCAGTCGACGATAGCAATGAGCACTGGAGAGAGTGAGTACTACGCTTTAGTGAAAGGCGGTTCTGTAGGGTTAGGACTTCAATCCCTCCTTCAAGACTTTGGAGTTGAGGTAGAGGTTCTAGTAGAGTCTGATGCAACCGCAGCCAAAGGCACGGTTAATAGAGTAGGCCTGGGAAAGGCACGCCACATTCAAACTCGTTATCTGTGGTTACAGGAACGTGTGGCGATGAATCATTTGAAGGTAGAACACATACCAGGCAAGCGGAACAGGTCTGATGTGCTGACAAAGTCAGTACCCGGAGTCCAAATGAAGGACACAATGAACCGTTCCGGATTTGTGTTACTTCAAAGCAAGAGTAAAGGCCAGATGAGTCTTCTAGATTCGTAAGGCCCTGGTCCAGGCTCCGACTACCGCACTGTATAGTTGCTGCGCGGGTGATCAAGCGCCCTCCAGCAAGGAGGAGTGTTGAAATATGTAGCCCAATACGCATGTTGTCATATACAGTTGTACAGTTGAGACTACTGACATGTTTTGGCTCAAGAAAATAAGGCGCTCCGAAGCGGCCAAGTAGATTTTCACTTCCCCAACCATGTCGTGGCTGTTCATTCATTTTTTGTTGTTGGATGTTTTGACTGTCGTTCCCTCACTGGCTGTGGTCCCTGGGTTTCCTTCAGGCAGCTGGTCGCGGGGGAGCAGATATCCCGGCTGATTGCGGATCCTTTGAGTGAGGCGCCCGCCACGGTGCCGGCCCTGCGCCATGGCCGCTTCAACCCTAGCCTCCAAGAAGGATCTGAGAACCTTGCATAGGTTCGCAGGACCCAACGCTTCAACAGATGCTTGATGTTTGAACATTGAGTTGGTGCTTGAACAGATGCTTGGCCCAACGCGATGTCAACAGTGCGGATATCTTCTGGGAAACAGCAGTGTCATGTTTTGCTGTTTTTTGCCAACAAGCGTTCCCATTTAAGAAAGCCCGCAAATCATTCGGTGGCTGACGCTGCGAAAGGAGAAGATGGCAGCACATGTCTCGAGTTGAACCCAGGTGACCTGTGAGTGAGCGAGCTTAGAGCCTCAGATGGCTGGTCACATGTTGCTTGCCTTCCAAAGCGCCAAAAGGGAGTCAGTGTTTTGAGACTGACAAAGGTTCGGGCGCTTTTCACATCCACTTTGCCACATGACACGTGCGCTTTGCATCTTTTGGAGGTGTTTGGCTTCGCATTTGGGCCGAAACCCGAGGCGCCGATTCAACATTTACCAGGAGCTGTGCGACTTGACTTCGAACCGTGTGCCCTCATCGTGAGAACCACCCGGCTATCGAGGACAGTGTTTCGGGGATGTCTCAAACCGCGTTGGCCAAAACACCTGGGAGGTTGCGCCATGGTAGCTATCAGGTCACACCGCCGCGTGTCGCCTGCTCCTGTTTCACTTTTTAGCAGTTGTGCCAGCACGCGTGCAGCGGCCGTGGATGCGCGTGGGCGTGTGTTAATGTTTGCGCCAGCACGCGTGCAGCGGTCGGGGGTTCGCCTGCGCGGGTGTATTTGGATTTGTGCCAGCTCGCAAGCAGCGGTCGTGGATGCGCGTGGGCGTGTGTGTTAACGTTGGTGCAAGCATGCGTGCAGCGGTCGTGGACGTGCGTGTTGTCAACATTTGTGCTGCGCGGCATCAACACCAGGTTTCCAAAGTCCAAACCATAGCACTGTCAAGCCAACTAGAACTTCTGACTGAGGTTTTGGGCTGCTGTACCGAGGCCCGGAGTGGTACTGCCAACCTTGTGGCGGTAGAGGGCACGTTGGTTCTGCAAAAGCCTGAAAACATCAAAAACAGTCAAAATGGACAGTTTTTGGCCCAAGTCAGCGGACTCATTGTCCGGAGTTGTCGACATGTAGTTTGAGCGGCTTGCGGACAGGCTTGCAATTCTTCCCTGGCACACTTATGTCGCCGGCGACATTCTATTGCCTGTGTGTCTTCGTGGTGCAGCCTGGCCGCATCGATTTTCTGTTGTCCTGGGACCTCATGTTGCGTGCTAGCCACTCCGCCCCTTCCTGACAGCTCGTCACTCTCATGTTTGTGTTAGCCAGTCTCAAAGGGGTCCATTGCCGTGCCATTGCCCAGATCGGGCTTCTTGAGGTACGGCTTTGGCTTGCTCGCCTTTTTCAGCATGCTGGGCAGTGCTGCCGAAGTGGTGCTGGCGGGCGCTTTGTATGTGAGCGGTTTGGAGGACCAAGCTTAGCACGGCCAGCCACATGTTTGGACGGAGTGCTCAAAGCGAACACTCGACCCACTTCTGAACAGCGCTACCACAGTCTGCCGGGAGAGTTCTCAGGTAGGTAACCTGCACCAAGGTCCTGTGGCTTTGCTACGCCATTAAGGGTTTTTCTGTCAGTGTTAATTGCAACTCCCAAAAGATCGCTTACCATACTGCGAGGTTTAAGTCGCAAGCCAGTCCCTCCGACACCGAGCTCCAAGCGAGGAGTGCACTCACGTGGCCTTCATGCCGCCTCTCCGCGAGAACTGTGCCATGACCTTTTGGTTCGTCAGCCTTTGGGCCCTTCAGGACATCCACAAGCCCATTGCATTGCCGGCATGAAACATTAGAGTCCTTTTGTTGGCCTCCTGACAGGACCTTCACAAGAAGCAGGCCAAGGCTTCTTGGTAAGATGCAGCCGACATGGAAATCCATGAACTTGAAAAGAAAAGTTTCTACAGGTCGAACATCGCCGAACCATTCCGTGCTGGCCATTAAGTCAGGGGAGGTGAGGTGAGGTGAGTCGGTTTAAAAAAACTGCGGTGAGTTTCAGTGGGGCGATGGCCTCTTGTGAGGCTTTGTGCAAGCTTCAAATGTGTCGCAGTTTGGCATTGAACGTTGACTGTGCCTCGAGTTTAGCCAGCGTGGCTGCCCAGCGCCTTACTCTGGCACCCCATTTGTCCAAACACTGATCGTCTCGCCAGACGGGTCGGAATTTTGTGAAAACACCTTGTTGGTCAAAGCCTTCAAGGCACACTGGTTGGGGCAAGTGACGAGGCTTGTGGCTGAAAGCAATCCAGGCTCACTTCGTCGGCGCATGATTTGCCTTGCAAGGCTCAAGGCTGGCACGCGGCAAATGCCCATGATAGTCAATTGATGTCTTTTTGTTACGAGCCATTTTTTGTACGTGACACGCCCTGGAGCAAAGAGACTGCCAGGCTAAAATTGACTCCCGTCACACCAAGGCTGACTTTGCTTTGACGGCAGGCCTTCGCTTCCTCCTCAGCGTGACGATGTTTGTCTTGCTTTGGCAATTCGCCTGCTTTGCCTTGCTTCTGCAGGCCTGCCGGCACAGTCAGCAAAGTTGGATGAAAGTACCTAGAGCAGAAACGCTGGAACCAGACAGGGCACGGTGCCAGATAGGCACCTTTTGTGCTGACGCTGGGAGCTCAGTTGTAAAGCCACCATTGTCAGAGGCAAATGCGGCGCGTCTTTGACCAAATCGAGCTGATGGCAGTCCCGGCTTTTCGATTTCGCGATTCAATCCAAGCACATCCGAGCAACTTTGCACGCGCCTTACACTGTTGGCCTTCCCGTCTCCGGTGCGAAGGCCTTCGCGCTCTACGCCATGCTACTGCTGGGCCTTTTAGAGGCATCCTTTGTGGCTTGGGCTTCTCGCCTTCACGCGCTCCTCAGCAAGCATTGCAACTGGGGCCGCCAAATTTAATTCTGCTTGTTCTGCTTGCATTTGCCTCATTTGCCCCTGCCAGGCGGTAGTGCTCCATTCCTTTCGAACATGGAACCCTTCAGTCCTTGGGTTTGCTCAACCAAACCGAACCCATTTTAAATGGAGGAGGGGGTGCCCAGAGACGCATAGCATGGCCTGAGGTGTGGCACGCTTCTGGCAAGCTTGCTGCGCCTGGGCGATACGTGGCCGCTGAGGCGGATGTGAGAGAGTAGCACTCATGAAATCCTCCCTGGCAATGCGAATTTTGTGCCACGTGCCGTTTTTGCCCCTGGCAGGTCACCCTTCTTTTCTTTGGCCGTGGCTTTCAGCATGTGCAAGGGCCGCTGCAGCGCGGTGCGGCTCGTTCCGGAAAAGATAAAAGGTCGCATTCCGCCTCATATTGCTTGTGTCGTGTTTGCTCAGGACTGTTGATTTTCACATGCTTCATCCCAGGGAACAGATTCTCCAGCTTTGGGGTGCTATGATGAGTTTGGCATAAACACCATTGCGCCGCGTACGTCGTATGCACCGTTGTACCGCTTGCGTCAAATTTAACATTCAGCGTTTACACCTGCGGCCAATTTTCCTGCCCGCGTTGCAGCGGAGCAGTGTTCCCGCGAGTGGGTGACAGGCTTTGCGCGCGCCGAATTTTTGTGACTGCTGCAAGGACCTCTGTTGAGGGAACAGAGTTGTTGGCAGGTATCTTGTTTTTAGGACTACGCAAGTGGCCCTGAAATGATTGCTTCATTGTTTCGCTTTACCATAAGATTGGTTTTTGGTGCGGATTCTCATTGGTGGTTACTCTGACGCTGCAAGGCTTTGTGGTGGTCTTGCCCTTCTGCTACACCGGCTCGTTGCCTGCGAGGACAGCCCTTTTTAGTTTGTTGAAGAGTCCATGAAGGACATGTGTGGGCTAGGTGACACATCTTGCGTTGTGTACGGCGTGTCTTGTTTTTTTGTTGTTCAATCTACCGCTTTTTTTGTGATCATTGGGCCTGTCCTGGACATGATGCCCGCAGAGACTCCAAACAGCAGCGCGGAGCGTGTCTAGCAACAAACCTGCTGGGAGAGAAATTGCAGTGATTTCTTTGAAGGGGTCTGTAACAGAGCCGCGGCGGACCTTCGTGACGGACCTTTGCAGGCCTGCAACAAGACCCGCTGGCGCGTTACCCAATTCTCGCTACACACCTTCGTTTCACGCCTCGCATGAAGACGCCCCTCATTACAAACCCCGACGTATATCCGGACCCTTGATGATTTCCAATGAGTGCCTGCAGAGCAGACTTTCCAGAGCGTGCTTTCGCTTGAGAACCAACTTGCAGTCAACTGGCAGGGAGGGTCCGCAAGAAAGAACCCCCTTACTGCTATGCTTCGTTACACACCGGAGTTCGCTGGACAGGCCTGTGTTTCGGCAGCAAACCAAGCCAAGAGCTTGCTTTGGAGGCCGCGCCCGCAACAAGCAGCGCTGGAGGGGGCGCGCAGGGACAAATGAGTTCGTTCAGGCAGCCGGCCGCCCGTGTCGCTGCGCGATTTGCACCTGGCTACAAAAGCAGCGGGGCTGGAGACAAAACATCGTCTAGATAAGTGGCTGCATTGAGAGGCTTTCAGCGCATCTAGCAGCCAAGCTCGGAAACCAATGCGTTCATGTAGAAGGCCTGCCATCCGCAGAGGTGCGCAGAGCGCGCGGCCGCGTAATCGCAAACAGCGCGGGTTTTTTAGAGAGGCAGCAAGAGCAGAAAAACAAACTAGAAGACGGGTGGCCCGAAAGCATGTTCCATGACACGCAGCCTGAGTCGGTCCAGTCTGCTCTGCGCGTGCTTCTATGCATTTCACTGTCTACTTTCCCTGCGCATGCATCTTTGCACTTCCGCTTCACTCTGTACTTGCCTTACGCATGCCTCTATGCATTTCACTGTCTGCTTTCCCTGCGCGCGCCTTTGTGCATTTCTTATGTTGTCCAAACTTGTTTTGGGAAACTCGGATGTCATAGTGCCAAGTGCTGCTAACTCCGGTTTTTTCCACTTGTGCTCGGTCCTTGCGGGGGCTTATGCTCGGAACCATTTTGGCTCAAGTCACTGACTTGATCCTTGATCAGTTCTTGGTATCCTCTTTTGTTTTTGTTGTTCGGACGGCGGCCATGGAAGTTGATGCGGTGACGACGGCCGCGGAGCTGGGAAACCTCGGTGGCGGGACGGCTGCTTCTAGCGCTGTTCCCCCCGACGGCGCCTGGCGTGGGGGCGCAGACCACTGGGATTGGACTTGGCAGGTGCTCAGTTCTGCAAGAAGTACCATGCCCTTCAACAAGTGCCCGGAAAATTGTGGGAGGAGCCACAGCTGTCCTGTGCTCCTGCCATCGGGCAAGGCATGCGAAAAGAACCACCTGGCGGTGCACCATGAGTGACTCTTCAAGAGGGGCTGGTGTTGCTCCCAGTTTTTGAAAAACCTCATTAGTGGAAGCGAGACGGTTGTGGCAAGCACTGTTTCTTCTCCCGCTGTTGGTGGGGTCTCACGGATGCCGCGGCCACCTGGCTTGGGCCAGAATCTCGAGGGCCCAAAAGCGTGCCGGACGGCTGCCGCGAGCGCTGTTTCCGCGACGCCTGGGAGCAGTGAAACGCTGAGAGGCACACATAGGGAAAGTACACAGTGAAATGCGTAGCGATCTTGCATTCCTTCCCGCACGAGCATAACTTGCATCAGGAAACTTGCACGCTTTCTCTACAATAGTATCTTAGTGGGACCAAGCGCGCTCTGCGAAAATGAGACCTCAGGGATCGGCCTGGTCGATGCGCAAAAACTGGACTTTTTACAATTCTTGCAAGCGCGCGCGACCCTCTGCGGGGATCGTGCGTGTCACGCTCTCGCTATGGTCCCGTGCGAATCTTCGCGCTTCGCGCGCGACCCTGTGCGGAGATTGTGCGTGTCAGATCGCTCTCGCTGTGGTCTCGTGTGAATCTTCGCATATCCTCGCAGTCTGCGCGCGACCGTCTGCAGGGATCAGGCTGCAAAGTCGTAACTTTTAAATACAAAAGTAGTACTCCGGCTGCAAAGTCGTAAATTTTCAATTCAAAAGTAGTACGCAAAGTGCGTCCCCGCAGCTCCGGCTGCAAAGTCGGGAGGTAGACAGTGAGATGCATAGAGGCATGCGTATCGAAAGTGCACAGTAGAACACCTAGAGTCACGCGTAGGGCAAGTGCAGAGTGAAATGCATAGATGCATGCGCAGGGAAAGTAGACATTGAAATGCATAGAGGCATGCGCAGGGGAAGTAGACAGTGAAATGCATAGAGGCATGCATAGGGCAAGTAGAGAGTGAACTGCATAGATGCACGGACAGGGAAAGTAGACAGTGAACTGCATAGCGGCATGCGCAGAGTGTACAGTGAAGTGCATAGAGGCATGCGTGCGCAGGGCAGGCGCAGAGTGAAGCGCATAGAGGCACGCACAGGGAAACTGGACAGTGAAACGCGCAGAGGCACTCGTGGGGCAAGTCTAGAGTGAAGTGTGCAGATGCATGCGCAGGGACAGTCGGCGTTGAAATGCATAGAGGCACGCAGAGGGCAAGTGCAGAGTGAAATGCATAAATGCATGCACAGGGAATGTAGACAGACAGTGTGACGCATAGAGCAATGCGCACGGGAAGTTCACAGTGAAACGCGTAGTAGACAATGAAATGCACAGAGGCATGCGTAGGGCAAGTACAGAGTGAAGCGCATAGATGCACGCACAGGGAAAGTAGACAGTGAACTGCATGGAGGCATGCGCAGAGTAGGCAGTGAAATGCATAGAGGCATGCGCAGGGCAAGTAGGGAGTGAAGTGCGAGTGCGTAGACGCATGCGGAAGGAAAGGAGACGGTGAAATGCATAGAGGCATGCGTAGGGCAAGCGCAGGGTGAAATGCATAGAGGCACGCGCGGAGTAGGCGTTGAAATGCATGGAGGCATGCATAGGGCAAGTACGGAGTGAAGTGCATAGATGCATGACAGGGAAAGTAGACAGTGAAAGCATAGACTGATCTTTTCTTAGAAGAGCCGCTGCAGATTCAACAGGCTTGACCTGAAAACCGACAAGCTGGTAAGTGTGGGTTGAACATGTTCGGTTGAAGCTTTGAGTTTCACGTCGTGTTCTGGTTTGGATTGAATCAGAATCATTTAGCTGTTCGAGTGTGAGAGGGAATGCGGTAAGAGGCAAGCAGGTGACTCGGCTCTGATAAGTTTGGCTGGTAGCGCCGGCTGACGCAGCTGCCGCGCTTGTTGGAGGCTTGATCCACAGCCTGAGCCAGCCTAAAATTTAGCTTCGCGCGACCCCGTGCCTCATTTTGTATTGCGGCCAGGCGGCTTGCCGATGGCAGTTTCGCTGTAACAGTCGGCCGCTTGTCAAGCGAGGACTTTGTGACCCTCAATCCGGCTTATTCAATCAAGGGAGTTTGTTGTTACCCTGCCTTCGGGGACTTGGCTACCCTCTGTCAGGGTGCCGAGCGCAACTTTCGTCTATACTTCTCAGATCAGCATACTCATGGACGGACAACGTCGCCTTGAGACCTTGGCTCAGACAGTTCAAGCCATGCTCGCTCGGATTCTTCGACAACCCGCACTCCACCTCCTCCTCATTTACCTCGCGCTCCTCCAACTATGACGCAGTCCCCGCCTCCTCCTCTTCTACACGCTCTTGAACCACTCCCTCCTTTTGATTCATTGTCCACAGCCAAAGCCCACTCGTCACACACCGCCAAGGCAAATGCCCCGATCACTGTCGTTTACGGCCACCACACTGACTCCGAATGTGCACAATCCCATCGAGCCAATGAGTGTGTCCCCAGATGCATCACTTGAAAGGAATCGCAGGGGAAGATTTTGCAGAGGCAGGCGGATCTATAGATCAAGATCCAGACGCAGGCGATCAACTCATGTTGTGCCGAAAAGCGGCCCGCCCGAGATTAAGGCAATGCCTGCCTGCCGATCTTCAGGGTTAGATCGTGGAAGATGATCACACAACTTGTGGAAAATGATCCCGTGTTTGCGCAACGTAGTTGCATTGCTTGCTTGACTGATGTCCTCCGTTAGCCATTTCATGCTTGATTTGATAGTGAGTTTCTTTGTCTCCGTCATGCACCTGTCTGATGTGTTTGTAGCAGATCTCCTGGCGACGTTGCAGACGCTGGTGTCATCGGTCACCGTTGCCATCAACTCGCTGCAGTATGCCATGGCCTCGCGGAATACCAACGCATCCAGCACAAACATCATTGACAGCTTACCACCACCACGCAACTCTCGCCATGGCACTCGCTTATGCTTGGCGGCTGACTCACCGTCTCCTCATCCAGAACGTGCACGATCACGTACTCCTGTTCGACTTCGGCCCATGGACACATCTTCGACGTGGTACATGATCCCGCCCGCCAATCGACGACTTCATCGCCGTCATGCGTTTGAACCAAGTGCAGTTTCCAACCATCATGGCGACGCTGAACTGCCCTCCGCTGAGCCTCGTCGCAAGTTTCCACTGTAGGCGTCATCGGCTTCTTCGTCTTCCGACTCCATATCTCCAGATCCAGAAGCGGCATCAGTACGCCCGCCGGTCCTTCGTGCTTGCTTGACTCATTCCATGTGGCTATTCGCACTGACTACCCGCACCCGTCCCAAGCCTGGACACAGACTCAACTCGTACAAGTCCATCGCAAAGTTTCTGACGAAGCAGGCCTGGAAGACGCACCAGAAGATCACCATCTAACATCAGCTCGACCGTGGAAAACAGTTTTCTGGTGTGCGTGAGTCATGTGCGCATGCCTTTTGCTTCTGAGCCTGCGTGCTCGTTTTGCAGGCGCAATGGATCAGAGTACCCAGACTAACATTACACGGTCGCGCGGACACCTCCCTTCTTGGCTGACTCGGTTGAGGCGTGGACCTGATGACGAACCTTTACCACCGCTACCACTTCCTCCACCACCTCCGCCACCGCTACCGCCACCGCCTGCACCTCCGTTATCTATGATGATGTGCCGACACAACATCACGGATGAATCACAATCAGACATCACACATGCCTGGCACCTACCTCAACATCAAAATCCACCAGCTTACGCGCATGAAGAAAGTCGTGAACGCGACTCATCTCCTCAACATCGACTTCTTCTCTCGCCATGCTCCTCTCCCAGGAACGGCAAGACCTCAGACTTCACAGCAGCAGATCAGCAGCCAGAAGATCTCGCAAATCCAGCCCCACCTGTCATCGTCGTGCTTTCACCGTTTTGCGAGTGGACGACGAGTGTACGATTGGAAGCACGAGCGCGCGAGAGGGGGTACGAATGTGCGAGTCGGTGCGCGAGCCGGTACGCACAGGAAATAGAGCCAAGTTCTGGGAAATTAGGCTTTGTTTTCCAAAAGTCGGCCTTACTTCTGCACGTGCGGACTTGCGCAAAGTCCACACGCACATTTCTGTTTTTCCCCAAATAGTGTTTACACTAAGGGGTTCTTACGGTATAAGTTAAGGCCGGGTTAGATCGAGGTTCGATCTAGGTTCGCACTAGGTTCGCGTGGCCCTGTGCGTGCAAAGCGACAGTCTCGCACGAAATGGAGGTTCGCGCTGGCACGTGCGTCTCGCTGCGGCGCCGCTCACATTTTTGTTTGCTGGCAGGGGGCCACAGGCCGGAGGCTCGCGCGATGATCTTTTGATGAAACCGCCGCGGCGCGGGGGAGTGTCTTTTGAGGAAGCCTTGCGCCAAACACGTTTTTTGAGAGCAGTGCATTTTGTGATGGCACGGCCGCCACGCAGTGATATCTTCTTGCCGGGTCAGGGTACGACATTCGGAGGTCTAAAACCATGGCAGTTGTCGCAAAAAGTTGTCTTGCGTAACGAGAGCTTCGCATGAAACGGACCTTTCTTCAAAACAGCGCTCTCGCTGCGGCGCCTCGCCTATCTTCGGATTTGTGTGTTGCCGCAATCAGAATTCTATGGCCGGCGCAGCATTCTGTGAGAGACTGCCGTGCGTTTTGCGTGGCGGGCACAATATGTTTTGCGCTGATGCTTTTGTTAGCTGCATTTTCCTTAACAAGGTCTGTGAATTTCGTGGCAGCCGCAGCGTTTCACTCATTTGCACGCGTTGCGAGACCTGCCCATATTCGGTGAATTGCATTACCCTCTTGTCCCGCTGCTTTCTGCTTGTTGCCGTCTTTCGGAGTATTTGGTTGGGGGGATCTTCTAGCTCTTTCGGGGGCGGGGGATTTTGTTGCCCTCCTTTGGGGAGATTTGGTTGCCCTCTTTCATCTTGGGATTGTGTGACATTTTGTCAAGCTCTTTTCGGCCCATGAGTTCTCTGTCGGTCTGCGGAGCAAACAAGGCTGGTGACTGGTGACCCTTATTTTTCTCTTAACCCGGCCGATGGCACTTGAACTTTTCTGCGGAATTTTGGGTCATGACAAGCCTGGCCCGCGCGCAACTGCACCCGTCGTAAAGCCTGAACCCAGACCGTCACAAGGTCAGTGTTCTCCAAGTCCGCCACGCCTGACCCAAGACTGGCGAGTCAGCCGAACCGCATGTCAGACCCCAATCCTCCAGGCCTGTCAGACTAACGGATCAGCCCACGCTGCCGGCCAATCCGCCAGACACGCTGTCACTTTCGCCTGTTGAGTTCCTTTCACGTGGTGGCGCCACCGCCATCAGTGACTACAAAAATCCTGAAGACGAAGGTGACAGCAAGCAGCTTGGACAACGCCCTCCGAAGAAGCACAAATTGGGGAAGAAGTCAGATGGTCAGACACCTGGTTCGTCACCCAGCCAACCTACCATTGAACTCGAATGATGAGGAAGAACTCATTCCGCACACACCAACATCATCAAGCGCTGGATGCTCGCAACGCGTGAGGGAAAATTCTGGTCAAGATGCAGATGACAAGTTAGATATGCCAACCTCGTCCTCGACGAGGCGCAGTGCTCCCACATGACTGACCAGGAAGCCTGTTGCGACGTTGGATTTTTCAGGGCCGCGTCTGCTTTTTGTCACAGCCTTTGTCCCACAAAGTGGGCCCACGACACGGCCCCATGTCCTGATGCTTGACGCAATGTCGGAGCCGAAAAATTGTTCTAGAAATGGGGCACGTTTGCAAGGACACCGGAAAGCGACTGCGCCAGAGACAAGAGCCTACAACAAACAAGAATGTTTGACACTGGAAAAGCTTCGAAAATCCGTCACCGTTCAGCAACCCAAGCAGCCGCCAAGAAGGGTTGGAACATCTTGCGTCAAAATTTCTGAAGTTTCGCTCTCCGAAATATCTTGCCTCGCGACTGCGAAGACCTTCTTAGCTCGCACGGCCGAAGTAACTCGCGACTCGGAGCCTGCAGAGCGCTTTAAGCACATCAACAACGAGATGCTCATGAAGGCAGGTGCCGAGAGTGACTGGAACGCACCCTCATGGTCTACAAGTCCGAACTCTGGAAGGGCGCGAGAATCAGAACTGGTGGACACCGCCCGAGCAGTACGGCCGCACTTGAAGGCGAAGCGTATGGTAGTTTGTCAGACGCCGCGGGAAATGGGAGACCCGCCACACTTCGGTCCTCGCGTGAAGAAGCCTTCCAAAGGGTTGAGCGACGCACCACGCAGATGGTGGTGTGTACTATGCCATCCTCTTCCAAAATCATTAGTTGAGTGAAAAGAAATCATCAAACATCCCTGATCCTGAAGGAGCAGAAGAACGTCTTTAGCGGACCTGACATCCTCCTCATGCTGATGACCCTCCCACATGGTTGGCGACGATGAGTTCGAGAAACGGCCGACTTCGAAAAGACTAGCAGGCAAAAACGGTTGCCTTTTCGTAGGACAACACATTCCATGGAAGCAGGGTGATAAGCATGCTTGCTACATCCACCAAACTTCGGGGCATCACCTTTGACAAGAACTTGAAGGATGACACCCCCTTCCGAGCCCCAAGTTACTTTGGCTTTTTGGGCTAAGATGTCCTTGGCCACTTGCGCTCGTTGGCTCTGGCTAGGCCGTGAAAACTCGCCCGAACGGCCGCGACGGCGTCCACCTCTTGCGGCAGCTATCGCAACAAGCAGTGGTGCTGAAAGGCCGTAAGATAAAGCTGCTTCCTAGTTGAGATGACCGCAGACCATGGCTGATTTTTCAGGAGATAAAGGGGAGCGTGCCTGAACTTGAAAGGGAAGTTTAGCTGCGCAAGCACAGTGCCCAGCAGGCAGGCGCAAACCAGCGCAACCAGGTCTTGTTGGAAGCAGTGCAATCGGTACATCCCATTGCAACTTGCCAGCGGCATCTGTATGAATCCCTGAGTATATCAAAAGCTTCCAGCAGAGGTTCATCAAAAGCGAGTCAACCGATCTGCTGAAGGATGCAGGCGTGTGTCTGAAACACTGACACGCGCGCGCGGCAAAACAAAGCAGCAGAAGTTTTTCAGTCGCGGCGCGCCTTGGCCTGACAGATAACACACGCGTAGAAACGCGCGGCGGTGTAGAGAGATGCTGGTCACAGAATCCCGTTACGGTTTCTGAGGCTGTGATTGTGGCAGAACGGACGCGGGTCTTCGGGCAGAACTGCGCGTTGGAAATCGGCCGTCATGCGCTGCGGCGCATGACGCAAAAACCGTCGCAAAAAGCATGGGCTTTTCTTTGTTTCCATTGCCCTTGTTTTCGCAGTGCTTCCAACTACACGTTCGGTTTTCGACCCGGTGGGTTGTTTTTGTATATGCGCATATTCGGTTTGTGTTGCGTACGTGCCTGTGTATATCTGCATGTGTGTGTGTCTTCGCACGCATGTGCGGCTCTATGCCAGTGTGTGTTTGCGTGTTTGTGTGTGTGTGTTTGGCGGCGTTGTTTGTCTCTGCCTCGCTCTCTCTCTCTCTCTCTCTCTCTCTCTCTCTCTCTCTCTCTCTTTTTTCTCTCTCTTTCTCGCTCTCTCTCACATTCCATTTGTGCGTGGGTTTGCGCGCGCGGGGTTGCTTTTTGCTGTGCTGCCCTATGTGGTGCGCTTGTGTGTGTGTGTGTGTGTGTTTGTGTTTCTCCTTGTGGTTTGTGTGCGTGTCCCTCTCTCTCTCTGTCTCTCTCTCTTTCTCTCTGTCTCTCTCTCTCTCTCTGTCTCTCTCTCTCTCTCTTCTCCCTCTCTCTCTCTCTCTCTCTCTGTGTTCGTTCATGTGTGCGTGTGCGCATGTGTCCGTTTGTTCGCGTGTGTGTGTGTGTGTGTGCGTGTGAGTGTGTGTGTGTGTGTGTCTTTGCGTGCCCGGAGTGCGGGCGCGGCCTTGCGCGTGTCTTGTGTGTTTGCCTCCATGGTCTTGATTTATTTCTTGCTTGGTTGCCTGTTTTGTTACTTTGTTTTTGTTATGTTTCCTTTTTGTCGCTATGTTTCAGTCTTTCTTTCTTTATTTCTTTCATTCATTATTCCCCTTTTTCCGTCTCTGTTTTGCTGCCTCTCGTTCGGATCGGATCTGGATGCAACCAGACAGCTAGGCGCTATCGATTGGGTGACGGGCCAATTGGGGATGGCAGCAGATTCCACGAGGCCGCCAAGCGCAGAGTTAGACTTCCCAGTTGCCAGCGCGCCAGGATGATGCGCACATCCAGGACTTTTTGCGATATCGACTGCAGGCCAGGCTTATGGAGCTAGCTTGCCTTGCAGCGTATCGTTGCGGGTCCCCTGAATTGATTGCGCGCGTTGTGAGGCAACAGTTCATTTACTTTTAAAAGCTCAGACGTGTCATTGCGTGTCCGCATTCAAGTTTTGCTGCTGGCCCCTGCTTCGCCATTTCCAGGCCATCCTCCACACGGTCGGCGACAAACCGCCGCCCGTCGCAAGCTACCACGCGTTTCGGTTGCATTTGTGAGGGGTTTAGCTTCAACGCCATTTTTGCAAGAAGAGGCTGTGAAGCGCGCGCGTCATGGAACTCTTTGCGCGGGGCAAGCGCGGGCATCATTGAACCCTTGGGCTTGCCCAACCTGTCTCTGTTGCTGTCGTCCCTGTTGCCACGGCTAGAGGCGCCGCTGCAGCCACGGCCGCCGCCCTGACTAGTACTGTGCGCGCGGGGTAAGACGTCGCAAAATGAATTAAACTGCGCGCTTCCAACCTTCACGGGGCAACTTATCAGATCGGCCCCTGCGCACACCCAACAAGCCTAGGGGATAAGTTAGCCTCCAAAATGGTGAATGGGGACCACTCTGCCCTTGGCTTCCCCGTGGCCTCTAATGGTTTCGCACCCGGGATTGAGAGCCAACGCGTGTTGAGCAGCCCAGCATGGCTTTTCCATCGCGATCGAGGCAGCGCTCTACGCCGGGCAGCGCAGCTTCAGCTCACCGCAACTGGCAGAGCTGCGCCGGCCGCTGCTTTACGCAGGTCCGTGGCTTTGGTTGGGTGTGAAGGGAAGACGAAAATCTATTCTCTTTGTGCCTGCGTCTTGGGCCTAAAACTGGGTTGGGGGGGCAGCTTCCATGGAACTCCGTAGTTTTGGTTCCAATAAACGGACCCCAAGTCATTCCGAAGGAAGACCACGTCTTGAAACAGTTTGGCTGTGATGAGGTCTCAGACCACACCAGCAGTTTCTGGTTCCTCACAACTTTGTCAGTGTCACCCACCTAGAAATGACCTCACCCTGGCGGGACAGATGCTCAACACACTGTGTTCTCCGAGAAAATGAGCCTATCTATCGTGTTTTAGGTCGCAATCATGTTCATGTGAGGCCTCGCAGGGTAGGGGGCGCTCGCGTTTGGCATGAGCACAAACACCTTTCTGCCCCGAGGGGTCTCTTCTCCCAGCGAAGATGATATGACGGCAGGCGAGCGAATTTCTATGGCGTGTAAAGTTTTGGCGAAGTGTGATTAGGTCGGCCCTATACTTGACAATCTGGACCAGCTGCAGCTTGCCCTGTCGCTGATTTTGCGCAGTTCCAAAGCAATCCGACCGCCTTCCCACTTGAGTAAGAGGTAGACTTCAGCCTCACGTTCCGCAACTGCGGCATTCCCTTCACCCACTCTCTGCGCCAAGGGTTCTTGCGCTGGAGAAATGTTCTACGTAGATCAACCTTACTTTGTATGAAGACACCCAGGCGGCGACCTTTGTAGCTCGCACACGGCGCATCAAGCCGAGCCCTAGGCCGCAGACAGCTGAAGAAAAACACGCTTGCCCGGCCACGCGCGAAGATTGCCGTTGACGCCTATCTGCCTGAGTTGCTTGCAGATGTGCGGAAAATCAAAGCTCCCCGCGCCAAATTTGCATGAGACGTGTAAGGGTTTGGCATTTTGCAGGCTTATGGCCAATGCTTGCCCAGCCCCCGCTGAGAGGGGAATAGGCTACGCAGTTTGGCAACGCCAGCGAGAACGATTTTCTGATGACGTGTTTGGCTCAATGGCTAGAATCCGCTGTGATCGTCAGGTTTATGTGCTGCAGATGGGCAGGAGAGTTTGCTGCGTTGCTCCTTCTGTGAGGAACCTGACACTCATGCACCCCCCCTTGACCTTCTAGGGTTGGCAGACTCAGGGCTTTTGGGCATCGCCTCCTTCCGGCCGCGGTTTGAGCATCAGCTGCAGTGCCTTGGCAAGCTGCCGCCCCATTTCAAAGGCCCTCCTAGTCAAGTTTCCCAGCGAGGGTAACAGATGCCACATCCTTGTGGTCGGCTGATGTCCGACGCGCTTGAGTTGCTTGGCTTCTAGTGTGCCTGGACAGGGCTGGCAAACGGTTTAAACAACTAATCAAGAATTAATCAAGAATGTGTCGTCTTGTTGCTTGCTCTTGCGCGGCGTCTGTCCGTGTGCGCTCGAGTGTTTGTAGCTTGCAGGGTTCTGTGTGCCTGTGTGCCTTGCTTGTACTTGTTTTCGGGTGTGATGGTTTTTTGTCTGTGTGTGTTTGCGCGTGCACGCGTGCGTATTTTCTTAGTTTGCTGAGTTTGTTTGTTTTGTTTGTATGTTCGTGTGAGTGTGCCAGGTTGCTTGCTTGCTTGCTTGCTTGCTTGCTTGCTTGCTTGCTTGCTTGCTTGCTTGCTTGCTTGCTTGCTTGCTTGCTTGCCTGCTTTCTTGCTTCCTTCCTTCCTTGCTTGCTTGCTTGCTTGCTTGCTTGCTTGCTTGCTTGCTTGCTTGCTTGTTTCTGGCACTGGCACCAGCGCAGCACCCTGTGTGTTTTAGCCCTTTTTCACATAATCGTGTTTTTCCCCCGGCAGATTTTGATTTGCATGTTGGGAGGCGGCGCGTCTTGCAGCACACCAAGCAGCTGCCGATCACAGTGGGCCGGTCGCAGTGTAGAACGCTGAGCGTGCGGCGAGAAGGATCAGATCTGTCACTGAAGTGAACACCTGCAGAACGCCACGAGTGTCACATACTTGCGAGTGTGGTGCAGCGAAAAAGCGTGTTTCGCACGCTCGGCAAGATTTGCAAGAAGGCCTGAAAACAGCAAAGCGTGCAACCGGGAGTGCTGCGTGTTTGGAGACGATCCCACAAAAAAAGCATGGGGCGCGGCACAGGCGCTGGCACCTGCTTGTTTGTTGCTTTGCTTGATGGCTTCCTTGCTTGCGCTTTGTGTGCTTGCTTGATTGCTTGCTTGTTTGCTTGTATGCTTGTGGTTGCACGCGTGCGTGTTTGTTACTTTGAGTGTTTGCTTGTTTATTTGTGAGTGGCTGTTTACCCAGGCACGTGCCCTTTTCCCCGCACATTCCCGATTGGCACGGCCACAAAGCACGCTTTTCGTATGCAAAGTCATGGTGTTCCAGCGGACTGTGTGTGTCACCGTTTTCCCCAATGGCACGGCCGCGAATCGCGCATTTTCTGTCGTAGCCCAGTTTAGTCCAGTTGCAGCGGCCGTGCGCCGACAACATCCGTGCCCCCAGAAGCGTGCTCGCTCAGCGCTGCACCCGTGCCCGCCAAATGGCAAGCGCACCCGCTCAAGCGCGCCCGCCCAACACTGTATATGGTTTTTGTTGCGTTGCGTTGCTTCAACAGGCAGAAGGTGAGACCTCCCCGAATCATACCCCCGAATCATACCCCTTAAAGCGTATGCTGCAAGATGCTACTTTTCTTCCACCGTTTGTGTTGTCTACTGCCTCCACAAGAACCACCGCCAGCGCTGCCTACTACGAATACTGCCACGACTACTACTACCACCACCGCCACTACGACTACTGCTGCTACTACCGCTACTACGACGACTACGACTACTACTATTGCTACTACTACTACTACTACTACTACGACTACAACTACGACTACGACTGCTACTACTACTACCAGGTGGCTCCAAGCCCCAAGCTTTTTGAGCTAAGATGTCTTCGGCTACCTGCGCTTGTTGGCCCCCGTAAAGCCGTGAAAACTTGTGAAATTTCACGCTCTGAGTTATCTTGTCCTCACGACACCAAAAACTTCCTACCTCACACGGCCTAAGTAACTCGCAAATCGGAGCCTTCTGGTACTACTACTACTACTACTACTACTACTACTACTACTACTACTACTTCTACTGTTACTACCGCCACTACTACTGCTACGACTACCACCACTACTACTACATTCATCATTCTGAGTTTGTAAACAGTTCCGCTGTGCAACTAGCCGAATCATACCCGCGAATCATACCCGAATCATACCTGGACTGGGGTTTTGCGAAGGTTAGCGCCAAGTCTTTTACAAACCTGCCGCACCACTACAAGCCGCTGCTGCTTCTGCTGCAGCTACTACCACTACTACTACTGCTACCACTACTACTGCAACTGCTACTGCTATGACTACTACCACCACCACCACTACTACTGCATTCATCGTTCTGAGTTTGTGCAATTTCCGTTTTGCATCTAGCCGAATCATAGTCCCGAATCATACCCGAATCATACCCGGACAGTGAGCTTCCCTTGCCACGGCTTGTGCCAAGTCTTCTCAAACCTTCCGCACCGCCACAGCCGTGCTTCTTCTGTTACAACTACTGCCACTACTACTATTGCTACCTATTGCAACTGCTGCTACTTCCACTGCCACTGCTAGCTTCTGCTAGCGCGACTGCTGATGCTTCTACTGCTACTACTACCACTACTGCTACCACTACTACTCCTCCTCTACTACTGCTACTACTACTAATGCTACTTCTACTACTACGACTACGACTCCATCGCAACGAATACTGCACCACTACGGAGCTACTACTACCTCTACGACGACTACTGCTACTGCCCCTGCTACTGCTACAGCTCGCTGCTGCTGCAGTAAATCATACCCCCGAATCGTACCCCGAATCCTACCCCGAATCATACCCGCGAATCACACCCGCGAATCGTACCCCGTGCTCAAACCTTCCTGCCCGGCCCCCGTAAAAATACAAGCCCATAGATCCATTCCTGCCAAATGGCACGCGCCCGCTCAAGCGCACACACGCACCGCTGGACCCATGCCTGCCAAATGGTACGCGCACCGCTGCACCTGCCAAAGTCAGCTGTATCCATGCCTGCCCCAGCGCGCCTGCTCAGCACTGTCTCCATGCCTGCCAAGTAGTAAGCGCGCTCGCTCTCAGCGGCGAGCACACCCTACGCATCACTAGGCCCCAAAACCCTATGCACCTTGAGACACACTGGAGCATGTGCAGATGCCCTCAGAAACTGCCTCGAACCAATGACCAAATCGAGGGGGCGTTGTTTGTTTGTTTGTTTGTTTGTTTGTTTGTTTGTTTGTTTGTTTGTTTGTTTGTGAGTAGTTGCGTGCGTATCTGCTTGTTGTTTGTTTGTGTGCGTCTGACTGCTCTCCTTTTCGTTTGCTTGGTTGCTTGCTTGTGTTTTTTGGTTGTTTGTGTTTTGTTTTTTTGTGCTTGCTTGCTTGATTGTTTGGTTTGTTGTTTGTTTGTTTGTTTGTTTTGTTTTTGCCTGGGTGTGTTTGTTTGTTTGGTTTGTTGTTTGTTTGTTTTTGTTTTTTTGCCTGGGTGTGTTTGTTTGTGCCCGTGCGTGTGTGGTTGAGTATCGTGTCCTGCGCGTTGCGTGCGTTGTATCACGTGCTACTTGCTCCAAGGTCCCTCCTGGCCTTGGCGACAGCACCACTGTACCTTCTCATGATGCGCTACCGCTGCTTGATCCATATGTAGTCAGGGGTTCAAAAGGCCCTCTCTTGCGGAAGACGCTTGCTCCACTGCCGCACGCAGTGGCATGGTCTTTTCAAGCACGCCTATTTCGTTTCGACCAAGCTCTGGGCTACTGATCCGAACGAACAAACAACAACAGGTGTGTAACAACAAGTGTGTGTGTGGCGTATCTTTTGTTGAGTTCCAGAGGTTGTCCTTGTTGGATTCCATGTGATTCCGTCCTTGATGCGAGGTAGTGTGCCTCAGTGCCCACCTCGTATTTAGACCCCCCTGCCCCACTCCCCAAGGTGGGATTGCTGGCAAATTTGTTGGGAGATAGTTTTACTGCGCCAAGTTCCTTGAACGCGGCAGAATTGAAGCAGCCCTCGCAACTCGCAGCCGTGCCAAGAAATGCTCTTCTTCCCGCAGATGGTCCTGTGACTTGGCCTTGTCGGGCAGCACTCTGGACCCCACGTTGGCAAACTCGCAGATGGCGCATCAGCCTTTTCCAGCAACCCTCCACGGATGCCCGTGAAACAATATGGATTCAATGAGTCTCCACCTAATCATACACGATGTGTTTGTTTTGTTGTTGTCGTATACGTACTTGTTGTACTTGCTGTCACACCCTTCTTCTAAACCTAAGTCATTGGCTGCGAAGTTATTTGGAGCAGGCTGCCTGTTTGGACCGCTCGGAACCCTTCTGAGGCTGGGCGGCTCCTGCGCCACCTTTCTGCCGCCATGGCTTCGCTTGCCGTTGGCGGGGCGCTTTTAGCCAAGCAACAATGGAGGTTGCCACTGGCTAGAGCCCTTCCTGGAAGAGCGATGGCATCCAATGATTTCTTCATTTATGTTGATGGCGTTGCGCAAGCAAACTGCAAGACAACATAGTTCGTCTCCGTTGCCGCCTGCCAAGTAGGTTCCGGCTCATGTTGACAAGATTTAAGGCAAATTGAATCACGGGTTCGAAGCGTACGATTAGATACATGCGTGCCAGGGTTGTGAAGGCTGTTAGCAACTGCAAGTTGTTGACACAAGCTGTGTCCTTGAAGGAACATGGTATATATTAAGCGGACTTAGTTGTCGAAGCAGCCATGTGCGCAAATCAAGTTTGACATAGTAAAGGTCACAAGGTTTTACATCCAGATTCAGGCACTACACAAGAAGCATGCATCAAGCACAATACCCAGCCGGCGCAACGCTTTGTTTTGGCAATTCCCGGCGCAGGCCATGGGAGTCTTTGCGCTCTCAGAGGGCAGCGTGCCGTGGCGAGGCATGAGGGGCTGGGCCGCAGTGGAGACTTGTCCTGCTTCCAGAATCCAGGCGCACCCGGCTTGGAAGATGAACCCACATGGAAACCCTGGCTGCTTTTAGCGCCCCATGGGCTTTGTGGTCGACTCAAGACAGCTGTTTGCTTGAGAAGGCCAAATATGGGGGTGGGTGAAAACCAGAAGGGTTAGGGATTAGGCAGCCCTTCCAAAAGCCTTCGGTAGCAAGCCTTGTTAGCTCAATGTACTTGCCGCTTGTTGTAATCTGACACAAGTTAGAGGCGCATCGTTGTCGGGGTCTTGTGGTCAGACAGGTCAAGCGAGTGCATTCCTGGAGGACAAGGCCTGGTCCGCCGGCGCGCTGTGTGCTCCACGCCTTGCTTTTTTGGTCAAGCCGGGCTCTTTGGGTCGGAGACTCCACGGGTTTGTTCGAAGTGACTCCATGATTGCACTGGTGACTGATTCACTGTTGTACTAGTCGCTTTGCGCAAGCCAGACACAACCAAGCCCCTCAATGCCGTTCTGAGACTTGGTGAAACACATCGGGAAGTGGAGGCTCGGGCTGTGTCACAGAAAGTGCACAGCTAGAAACTCATCATTGAGCTCCATCACACTAAGGATGCCAACTCTTCTTGGGGCGTAAACACAGCTCATAAAAACACATGACCAGCCCACAACACATCATCCGAAACTAGGCAAGCGTTGCAGATATGACTATGGGCTCAAGCCGCCTTACTGCATTCCGATGTCACCACTTCTAGCACCCGATTGATTGTTTTTTGAGATTGCCCAAATTCGAAATTACTTGTTTGATGCATTTGTAAATCTAGGGCCAAGTCGCCCAGGCCTGAACCAACTTGGTCGCGCGGAACCTGCCAGTAGCGAAACAAGTGGGAGTGACATCTGAAACGACATCGCAGGAGCGGCAAAGTTGCGCTCTCCGAGCTGGAGCTGCCGAAGTGCGCTGCATATAGTAGACTTTTGCTACAAAGTTGCGATTTCTGAGCTGGAGCTGCGGAGGTGTACTTCGTGCACAAGACTTGTACCACAATGTTGCGATTTCCGAGCTCGGGCTGGGGAGGTGTACTTCGGGCAGTAGACTTGTGCCATAGAGCGAAGCTCCTGCAAAATGATAAGATTGAAAAAGCGATGACGGTTTTTTGAGGGACAGCTAAGTTGTGATAGAAAGCCACAGCTCAGGCTCATTCTCCAGAGTTTTGCTGCGGTAAGTTCTGTTTCCTGCAAAGGGTCAACAAATCGAAGTCGCCCCGCATGGAAGTGACAGCGTCCCATCGCAGGTAAATAGGGTGGCGTTCAAAGTCGCTCTCCTGTTTATTGACATGCAACTTCCTTGTTTGCAGGTGGAGAGAGATGTGCTGATGTCCTGGATCAGGAGCCCCGACCGACCCGAAACATCCGCCAACAAAGGTTTTGGAGCAATCTCATGACCTTTCATGGCACCATGGCTTAAATAACCGCCCAGTCTGCGTATGACGTTATTTGCGGTGCGCGTGTGCGTGCGCGTGTGCGTGCGCGTGTGCGTGTGCGTGTGTGTGCGTGGTGTGCGCGTGCGTGCGTGCGTGCGTTCGTGCGTGCGTGCGTGCGTGCGTGCGTGCGTGCGTGCGGGCGGGCGGGCGGGCGGGCGCGTGCGTGCGTGCGTGCGTGCGTGCGTGCGTGCGTGCGTGCATGTGTGTGTGTGCGCGTGTTTGTGTGTGTCTGTGTGTGTGTTTTAATAGTTTCAAAGGTCGGAAGAGGTAACTTCATTCGAGCAACCCTCAAACAGTTTGTTTTGGCTGGTGGGTTTTTGTGGCATAAACGCCTGCAACATCACGGGTGGACAAACAAAGGCCACACTTATTTCGCACTGAGTGACTGCTGCTTGGCCAGATTGTGCAAGGGCATTAAGGTGATATCCCGCGTCGTCACTCAAGCGCGCGGATTGACATGGGCTGTTCCAGTTTTGACTGGCCAGCTGAAGATGCCAAAGCTTTTCCAAGCTGGTCGTGTGTTTGGTTGCAAATAATCCATGCTTCTCGTTCCTTCTTGCAATCATCTCCCAGCTGCCCTGACTAGCCAGGAACTACACTGCTCCAGAAGATGTCATAATCTCTGGCATGGGCGTGTCTGCTTTGGCGCCTCACTGAGTGTGCGGCGGCGGTGCGTGCGCAAACAACACAAGCAACGTGCCTCAGCTTCTTGCGCGCCCTTAGGAACCCCGTGAGCGGCCGCACGCAACGATCAGTCAGCCGACGAGTGTACCAGTTTTGTCAGTTTTGTTGCGTACATTGTTCCCTCAATGTTTTCAACCCATGCATGAGCCGAGGTTCGGCTTCATGCACTCCGGGGCGCCTAGCCGAGAAGTCCGGGCAGGAAGAAGTCATGTTTGCGATCTAAACTAGCGGGGAGGCAGCCGAGGGATGCCTCAGCTTTTTTGTTGGGCGTTGGAAGAGGAAGCTGAAGCAACCAAGGAAGGATGTATGTTTAGTGCGTTCTCTCGCTGAGCAGCGTGTTTCGGCTGATCCAGCGCAGTGCTGAAGCGGCAACGGCGCTGCGTGATTTGGCCTGAAGAGTCCCGCCGGTTCTTAGTTTCATTGCCTGAACCTTACAATTGCTTGTGCCGTCTCATGTCTTTCGTCGCCGCAAAAAAGGCACAGACAAGTCTTCACAGCAGTCCAGCGGAGAGCGTGAATCATTGCTTGAACGCGCTGTGCAACCATCAACAGACTCGTAGCGCTTGATGAAGTTACCTTTCGCGTGAGAAGCCGCAAAGAACCAGGCGAACTTGATAGTGTGTTGGTGTTGACCCGGGGGCTTTGCTGAAATCAGATTCACTCAGGGCGCTCCAACAAGATGTTTTGAATGTCCTTCCTGCATATGCTATTCAGTCAAGCCCTTGACTGGGTAGCATGATGGGTGCGACTTGGCCTCGCGCGCATTTGTTTGTGTCCTTGCTACATTTGCGCAAATGTGCCATTGACTAACCTCTCCAGGCATTGTGTGCCACCCGCACTATGAGTCTGCGCAGCTTCGAGAACGATGCTTTTGGGCCGACAAGCTGCATGGCCACAGGCGGGAAGCGAGTGATCAGAGGTTCGCAAGCCTCAGGCAAGAAGCTGGAAACCAGGCTGCAGCGCGAAGACTGCCAAGACATACTACACGTATGCGTAGCATGCTCGAAGCAAACAAAGACAGCTGTGCAGTCACCCATCCAGCTTCCGCCGTTGCAGTTCATCATCAATCCCAGTCCGCTTGGTTCGTTCATGATTATCGCTCACTTTTTCAATTGACGGGTAGGGCTGTCCTTGTTAAACTCTAAGACTTCTCCCTGTCTCTTTCTAATTCTTTTCCTGGCGCTCCAAACATCCGCATATTCTCACTTATAACGACATCGTTCTTCTTTGTCTTTTTTGTTTTAGATAAGGCGCTCGTTTTCATGTTGATAACAGGGAGAGTTAAACCCAGCCCCGCGGTCTCTTAAAAGCAAGTGAATAGAGAATACTGCCAACGGATTCATTGTCCTCATCGCCAGTTGCAGGCGAGGCCTCTGGTTCCCTGTTAGGTTGTTCTTCTGCCCTCGTCCTCTCTTCTTCTTTTTCTTCAACAACTTCGTTTTGCGGCCTAGCACTGTTTTCGTCATCAAAGGTTTCGCGGAACTCGTTCCTAACATCATCAGGCATCATCAAGACTGCAAACAGAACAAGTCCTTCCAAGGGCATTCAAACAGACACGTTGCGTTGATTTCCTCATCCTTTAAATTTGTTTATGTTCATCTTCAAACCCTCGCATTTGCTGAACAGGTCGGCTTTCGCACATGTTGATGAAACAATGGTATCTGTTGGTGTGGCGTATGATGCCCGACACATACCCTTGCTCATTGTAGATTTCTCGTTCCATTTCCCCGCTGCCAGGATCATTTTACAATTGCACTTTTAAAGGAGTCGTACTAACCGGTTGCTAGAACAGTAGTATTTCCTTGAAGTATCTTTCTGCTTTCCGTGTCTTCCTATTCCATCCCACCCGTATTTCACAACTCGCATCTGTCCGTCCACTGAGCTGTCTTCTTTGTTTAGTTTCCGTGTCGCACCTGATAAGGTATAGTGGTTAAAATCAGCATTGCTTCAAGCTTTCCGTCTCGGTTTAACCTTCTGCAAAGTTTTCAATCATTTCACAAAATGATGTCAAACCTAGCAAAGGAGAACTTGGTAACTCCCTCCCACGTTAAGTTCAGTCACACTTACTCCTTGTTTGAAAAGGGCTGCTGGAAACCTGTACTTCGCGTACTAGACTTGTACTACAAAGTCGCGATTTTCTAGCTAGAGCTAGAACCCTGTACTTCGAGTACTAGACTTGTACTACAAAGTCGCGATTTTCGAGCTAGAGCTGGAAACCTGTCTTCGCGTACTAGACTTGTACAACAAAGTCGCGATTTTCCAGCTGGAGCTGGAAATCCGTACTGCGCGTACTAGACTTGTCAAAGTTACGATTTTCCAGCTAGAGCTGAACCTGTACTTCGTGCGCTAGGCTTGTGCTACAAGGTTGTGATTTCCACCTAGAGCTGGACTTCGCGTACCTGTGCTTCGCGTACTAGACTTGTACTACAAAGTCGCGATTTTCCAGCTGGAGCTGGAAGCCTGTACTTCGCGCGTTAGACTGGTACTAAAAAGCGAGCTGGAGCTGGAAACCTGTACTTCGTGCACTAGACTTGCACTTCAAAGTTGTGATTTTCCAGAAACCTGTACTTCGCGCGCTATACTTGTGCTACAAAGTTGCAATTTTCCAGCTTCGCGCACTGGACTTGCACTACAAAGTTGCGATTTTCCAGCGCGCACGAGACTTCTGAGCGACACGTCTGAGCACAACTTGTGATTGACACTTCTGAGCGACACTTGTTAGCGACACCTGAGCAACACTTCTGAATCTGAACCGCACTTTTTCTGATCGACTTTTCTGAGCAACACTTCTGAGCGACACTTTTGAGCGACACCTGATCAACACTTCTGAACAACGCTTTTTCTGATCGACACTTCTGAGCAACACTTTTGAGCGACACTTTTTCTGATCGACTTTTCTGCGCGACACTTCTGATCGACACTTCTGAGCCTTCTGATTGACACTTCTGATCGACAGTTTGAGCTGATGAGCAATGCTTCTGATCCAGACTTCTCATCGAGAGGTTTGAGCAACGCTTCTGACCAGCGCTTCTGATCCACACTGCTCATCAACACTTTTGAACGGCACGTCTGAGAAACACTGCTGAATTGACACTTCTGAGCGACACTTCTGAGCAACACTTCTGATCGACACTTCTGATCGACACTTTTGAGGAACCCCTCTCATCAACACTTCTGAGCAACACTTTTGATTCACACACTTCTGAGGGACACTTTTGAGAGACGCCTGATCAACAATGCTGAACCACACTTTTTCTGATCGACACTTTCTGAGCGACACTTTTTTCTGATCGTGTTATTTTGATCCGCACTTCTGATTGACACTTCTGATCGACAGTTTGAGCAACACTGCCAAATTGACACTTCTGAGCGACACTTCTGTGCAACACTTCTGATCCACACTTCTGATCGACACTTTTGAGGAACCCTTCTCATCAACACTTCTGAGCAACACTTCCGACCCACACTTCTGATCGACACTTCTGAGCGACATTTCTGTCAAACACTTCCGAGCAACACTTCTGAGCGACACTTCTGAGCAACACTTCCAACCGACACTTCCGAGCAACACCTTTAAGCAAGACTTCTGCGCATGATCTACACTTCGGAGTTACACTTCTGAGCGACAGTTCTGACCAACACTTCTCACTCACACTGCCCATCGACACTTCTGAGCGAAACGATTGAGCAACAGCTGAATTGACACTTTTGGTCGACACTTTTTGGTCAACACTTCTGATCCACACTGCTGAGCAACGAGCAATACTTTTGAGCAACACTTCTGATTCGACACTGCTGATCGACACGCCTGACCGACACCTCTGCTCGACAGTTCTAAGCAATACTTCTGACCGGCTTCCGATCAACACTTCTGAGCAAACACAGACACACATGTGAGCGACGCTTTTGAGCGACACTTCTGAGCGACACCTCTGAACAACACTTCTGGGCAACACTGCGCGGCACTCCTGAGCGACACTCTCAAAACACGTTTGAGCGACAGGTCTGAGCCACACACAATCAGCAACACTGCTGCCTGAGGGACAATTCGAGCAACATTTGAACACACATATCTCAGCGACATGAGCGACGCTCCTGAGCGACACTTCTGGGCGTCGCCTCTGAGCAATGAGCAATACCCCTGAGCAACACTTGTTGAGCACACTTGCGATCGAAACTTCCCTTGTGATCGAAACTTCCGAGCGACAGTTCTGTTCGACGCTTCTGAGCGACACTTCTGAGCAACACTTTGACTGACACTTCTGAGCGACACTTTTGAGCGATACTTCTGAACCACACTTCTGATTGACTGAGCAACACGCCTGATCCACACTTCTGATCTGATCAACAGTTCTGCTTCTGAGCAACACTTCTGATCCACAACATTTCTGAGGGACACGTCTGAGCAACACTTCTTGTTCGACACTTCTGATCGACACTTCTGAGCAACACTTCTGATCGACGCTTCCGAGCAACACTTCTGTCGACACTTCCGACCGATACTTTTGACCGACACTTCCGAACGACACGTCTATCTGAACGACACTTCTAATGGACGCTTGTGATCGACACTTCTGAACGACACTTCTGTCTCCGAATGTGCGCCGCGCCACAGCGAGAGCGATTCGACCCACCCAAAGTGCGCAGAAGGTTCACTTCGCATGTTCAAAATGCGCACTGCAGAGCGATTTGACCCACCCAAAGTGCGCAGAGGGTTCGCTTCGCATGCTCAAAATGCGCACCGCGCCACAGCGAGAGCGATTTGACCCACCCAAAGTGCGCAGATGGTTCGCTTCGCAGTCGCAAAATGTGCACCGCTCCTCGATCGCAAGTCCCATTGGCACGGCAACGAGAACACGCAGCCTTCCAAAACACTGCGCCTGCGCAGCGAAACGACACGTCGAGCTTGAGAAGCTACGATTCGCGCGCAGGGCCAACGAAAACAGCGCAACACAAGTCATCAAAACTCACGCATTCTGCGCTTCTGCGAACGGTTGCGGACGGTTGCGCAACATCCCGGGAACAAGGCTCCACCCCCAGACCCCGAAGATGAAACCAGAACCCTATGCTACGCATTCGGGAAAATTGGAAAATCGTTTGCATTTTTCGACAATTGTTTACTGTGAGGGGGCATAAATTCATTTAAAGTGACTCGCCTGTTGCCAAGCCCCAGCTGGATGCCTGGCACGGCTCTCTTGGTGGACGGGTTCGTTTGCCCCCCTTTGTCTCCATTTGTTTCATTTGTCTCCCGTTGTCTCCTTACGTGAGCACATTTTTGTGTTCCAGGTGAAAGCATGGGATTGCTCTAATAAGACACTTATGCGGCCTGGTCAAAATTATTAGTAAAGGAAGTCCACAGAGGCCACCGTCACGCAGGCACTTTGTGCAGTTTTTCATTCATACCAAGCGGAGTCCTGCAAATACCAATGGATTGCCCGCTCCCCACTGAAGGCGCTAGGATGGCGCTTGGTTTGCGCTAGGGTCTTCGGTGATCTTGGTTTCCAAGAGTTGGGGCGTGGGTTACTGCGATGGGCTTTGTGTGGCTTTCAAGGGTGTAATGTTGCAGTTCTTGCTTCGTACTTGAAGCCAGCCCGCACGTTTACCTGAATCTTACGTGGCCTGAGTTTCTCAAGACCAGACAGATGGTCGCCGTGACTCCAAAAATTACGGCGAACTCGCGAGTAGTCAGCTGTGACCTGTTCCCATTTACGCCAAATTTGCCTCCGCTCTCCTCGCATGCAATTACCGCGGGATGCGATTTGCTGGACGAAGGGGAGAAAAACGGCTGAGGCAAGAAGGCGGCCTTGCGCCGAGCGTACAAAAGAATTGGGTTGCGTATTTCCGTGCAAAAGCAAATGCTTTACTGAATCGATACGAAGAGTTGACACAACACGATAA